GTGCATGCGGGTGGCCATAGAGCTCAGCGGTAGACGAGAGGTCATCCTCTTTGCATACCGGACCAGAAACTATGACGAGCTGCATGTGTGGCGTGAACTGGATGGAAGGTAGGACATCTCAAAGTCAACAGCATCTACACTGTGAGCTTTACAAAAACAATATCAACCAAATTTGATCTTATTGGTCCTGGTGTAAAATTGTTTTGATTCAAATGTAGTAAAATTATGATTTTTCATGAAGCTGCCTGTGTGCAAGACTTTTATGACTAAAGGACGTATGGATGTTGTGTGTGCAGACTGTCCTTTTACATGGCTGGAGGTGGTGTTTTATTTAAAGTCCCTGAGCTCGGAGCCCTGCAGACCCACCTGTGTATCACCTGGGATTCCGCTTCAGGTTTAGCTGCCCTCTTCCTGGACGGAAAGAGGAGCTTATCTAAAATCTACAGGAAGGGTCACACTGTCAGGGCAGGAGGCAGGGTTATCCTGGGACAAGATCCGGATTCTTTCCTGGGTGATTTTGAAAACAACCAGAGTTTTGTTGGTGAGATCTTTGATGTGAATATGTGGGACACTGTTCTGGCAGACAGTATGATCCAAGGCATATTTGCAGGGAAGAGAGTAGCAAGAGGAAATGTTCTTGACTGGGAAAAAACAGAGCTGATAATTAACGGGGACATCAAGGTCGCCACTCGTGAGCTGTAGTTATAATGGAATAACCCCATTCTGCTGTATGAAATAATGGCTATTAATCAAACTGTGTGTCAATATCACTAACGTTACTTTAAGTTTTTAGAAAACAAATATGTGCTCACATCACCTGTTTTTAATTATATATTAAATACTCAACACAGATTCATATTGTTCTAGATTATTCTTATCACTTACTTGTACTTACTTTTAATCACACTGTCATAGTCCCATTGTTGTATTATGAGAGTTTTTAGAGCTTTTCTGTCAGTTATTTCCATGCATTGAGTTATTTTAGTTTCCTTCCCCAGTCTCAGTCTAACGTTGCTACATGTGGGTTTGTGTCTAACCGCTGCATTTGTTATTTGTCTTCATTTTTGCTACCCCTCCTGTCGCCTGTGTCTACTTACCCTAATCACCCTTGTATGTGTGCCATCTTCCCCTCACACTTTTGTTTTAACGTCTGTGACGATATCTTGTATGTTTTCTCTCCATGCACTTGTGGATTTGGTTTCGTAAAAACTTTTACGTTTCCCTTTGTAGACTTGTGCCATCAGCTTATTAAAGATTGTCCTATTAAACCCTGCTGCCTCCTGTGTCTGCATTTCAATCCTCAGCTTTACACTCCATACAGTTGAAATAATATGCAGCTTGTGACATCGGCATATTTTATCACCAGGGGCTTAAAAATTAACAAGACAACACAGTGTCACTGATAATGCTGACTTCCCGGTCTTCAGGCTCATAAGTATCTCTGTTCTGATATGGTGTTTTTCTATAGTACTGGAGAACTCAAAGCACTCAGTGGCACACAAATAGTATAAAGGTGGTACTGCAGAAGAGTTTAGCTAATGTTTTGTACTACAGAACTGAAAAGAAGTATTTAGACTGTTTAGTTAAGTAAATGCTGTAATTGTACTGTATTTGTAATCATATAAACAGTACATTTGACAATAACTGAAACCAGCAGCACTGGCCAACAATGGGTTGTGAGGTCATTTTTTTCATTAACATGCAAATTGTCATGACCATTGATCAACAAACACTGATTAAAGACCATTGATCATTGGTCATTCATTCCCCAGCTTTTTAGAAGCTGCAGTCAGCTGAGACTGGATGGCCAATGATCAATGGTCTTTATTCAGTGTTTGTTGATCACTTGGATGAGTGACGAAACGTTTCTCCCACTGGGAGACATGAAAAAGGAACCGTAGGCCTAACACTGAACACCGGAAAACTAAGTCTAAGCATACATCACATGGAGAACAGAGTTAGATCTTTACCAAGAACACAGAGGAGGCTCAGAAACCTAAAAACCAGGAACTATAAATGTAATACAAACAGAAAACCATAATTGACAGAACAAAACTTGAACAAAAAGCACAAACACTGCGTGACCCAGGACCGTGACATTTTTCATTATAAAGCAAAAACCCCTCGATGTAATTTTTATTTTAGTGACAGAGCGCAAATATTTCCTTGCAGTTTTAAGTAAAATTTATATGATGTGATGAAACATTTTAAGACAAGTATATCAAGTTGAACTGTAGTAATGCTCTAGCAATATTATGGCATTATTAAACAATGTAAAGTTAGTATTACGTGTAGCTATTTCAGTGTTTATACTTATTAAATACACATGATGTATTTATATGTAACAATATTATAATTCAATAACATTTCTGGATATTTTACTTTTTATGGGTGGGATATTGTGTTATTACATGATAATAGTACTTTTCAGCAATTTTAAACCTGATTAATTTTATTGCAGCAGTGTTTGAATATATAATTATGTAATTTTGTTTTCACACATACCTTCTATTTAACATGAAAAATCCACAGAAATACACCAAACTTTAACTTACCACCTTGTGAAAGTACATCAGTTTTCAGTACTATAATTATGGGAAATTACTGTATGTTTTGGCACTACAACAGCTGGAATATGACAGGTTTTCTTGTTTTTTAAACGTTTTTTTACAGAGTACGTTTGCAACATTAATAACAGTAGTCTGAGGAGCTTGGAAAGAAAAGCGTCTGGACTTCTTTAAGTTGTTTGAAGACGTTTTACCTTCATCCGAGAAGCTTCTTCAGTTCTAGGGTCAAATGGTGGGGAGTCCCAGAGTTAAGCTCTGTGGGAGTGCCCCCCCCGAGAGGACCCCCTAATGATCAGCTACCTAATCACATGAGCCAAGGTGTGAAAACAGGTGTGGGTCCCAATCAGCCAGAGTTTCAGGTGAGCTCATTGTGAAACCTGGCCCCACCCTATCATGTGATTTCCTGAGGTCAGATGCCCCAGGATGTGAGTGGGCGTTAAGGCGTCTGGGAAGAATCTCAAAACTAGATTATGATGGCAGCCAGTTGGTGTCGTAAACCCCCGCCTCTGTTCAAAGATGGTCGCTCACAGTGGCCATAGATGCTTCTTTCACTCCTCTTTCAAACCATCTGTCCTCTCTGTCCAAAATGTGAACATTGGCATCCTTGAAAGAGTGACCTTTGACCTTTAGATGAGGTGGCTCTTCTATGTTGTGCCATGTGTTTATGAACTGATTCTTTGGTTTCTCCAGTGTAGAGGTGTGAGCATTCCTTGCTTCACTGCACAGCATATACAACGTTGTTTAGTTTGTGTTTGGGAGTTTTGACTTTGGGTTTCTCTGATAAACATGAATTGATCTGAGAAACTCAGGATAGTCTTCTCCAAGCACGACATCCCAGCTTTTATTTAGAAACACAAGAATACAAACACTGATGATCAGGAGCAAACAATCCCAAAACTAGTAGACTCGGGGAAATGTGCAACAAGGAAACACAAAACCATGAGGGCAAACACCATAAACAAAAAAGTGTGGAGTTTTAGCATAAATCCGAAGTTGAAACCAAAAGGACGTTGTGAAGTCACAAAACGCAGAATGAACCTAAAGATTGACCCAGAACTAAAGCCATGAAATATAACCAAAAGAAACTTGAAAATACAAAACTAAACACCAACAGTACAAAACCACGATCCAAACACTATCAAAAAAATTCCAAACTAGAGAAAACCTAAAAGTCAGAAAAACTCGAAGCCCTCAATCCAGGGACCCTGACAGCAGTCATAATACAGAGTAAAATTACAGATTATAAAGGTGACATTTTGACACACCTTTGCTACAATCACTCCATGTGCTATGGTACATAGATGATTGTAGCATTGTATGCATATTTGTTTGTTCCATATCTCCTGCATGTATACTGAGGGGTTTGTTAGAATATAGTAATATAATTCAGGGAACCACATTTTAATCATGCTGCATCAGTCTGAAAAATTCAAATGAGCATCAGTGTCTCATTTACAGGAAGAATTCAAATAAGAAACATTTGAATTGCAAAAAAATACAACAGAAACAATTCAAATGAGCAGCAGTTTCTCTTCTGCAGAAACTATTGTCTGCTTTTCTCTTTGATAGAAATCTTTCTTGGACAATGGTCAGAAGACACGCTCGTGCTCATTTGCAAAATTCAAATAACCATCAGTGCGTTGTGAACAGAAAGAATTCAAATCAGAATTTATTTTTTAAATATTCCCTTTGAAATAAATGGCTAATAAATAAAACACCCACAGGTAAAGGCATGGTTTGCAAAAAACAGTTAGAACTTTAATCTAAATGACCTTTAACTACAGAACTCTGTAATTTTAGCAGCTGCTTCTACCAGTACCAGTGAACACCAAAGCCTGAAACCAGTAAGGAAGTTTAGAGAGCTGCAGACTGAAATGGGGAGAGTTCAGTCACCGCTCAGTCGTCTGTCTGCAGGAGGATCTTTGTAGCAGCTCAGTATGTATACAGCTTCCTTTTATTTTGTAACTTCATATGACTTTTTGATAATCAATGCTGTGTACAAATGTTAGATTGCATTAACACATGAAAATATCTCGAAGGCATCTGATTTTCTGCAGGTTTGTGAAAATAAAATGAGACCTCCAGTCATCCTTTTCCTCATGACAGCATTGGCCGGTAACTGTATACCTCTCCATGTCGTCCTCTTGTGCACATTTTAAGTTATTTTATTATTTTTTTTCTGGTTTTCTTTGTAAACTTAAAATGCATTTATCTGGTATTAAGGCTTTCAGTGGGAGAAAACACAGCATTTAAACAGTGATTTCAGTGACCTTCATTTTAAGAATTCTTTAAATTTGCGTGACACCTCTGTTTTTTCCCTGCCTGTCAACTTAGTTATACCATCTAATTATTTTTATACAGAAAAACACAGTTTTATCACAGTTTCTTTTTTAAACCATTTCAAAGTTTTAGTAATGTTTTTATTTATTTTGCTGCCTCTCAGGGAGTGTTACCATCAAGACCTTGGTTTTCTCCAATGAGACAAGCACCAATTATGTTGAGATGATCCCTCAAAGGCCGATGAACCTGACTGCGTTCACTCTGTGCATGCGGGTGGCCACAGAGCTCAGCGGCCAGCGAGAGATCATCCTCTTTGCATACCGGACCAGAAACTATGACGAGCTGCATGTGTGGCGTGAACTGGATGGAAGGTAGGACATCTCAAAGTCAGCATCTATACTGTGAGCTTCCCCCAAAAATAATATCAACCAAATCTGAAAAGTTCCCACTCACATATTTCATGTACACTAACTTTATTCTGTTAATGGAGGCATGCTGGGATAGACTCCAGGCTTTCACGACCCTGATAATGTGCAGCATAAGAGAATGGATTGGTTTCAACAGAATGTGTCAAAATGAAAATTACAGATGGATTTCTCCTGTACTTACAAATCTATGAAGGAAAAACAGCCCACAGTATGACCTCCCATTATGTGGTTTATTAAACATGCTGAAGTTAATGTGGAGCACAGTCGGGGGTCAGGTGGTTTTTACAGTGGCCCTGAGAGGCCAAATGGACAGCAACTTCAGAAAACACCAGCAACAAGAAAAATGCTGCAAAAGCACACAAAACACAACAGAAATAGGAAAAAACAAATCTCCAAAAGCACAAGGGAAGTGTTTCTGGGGAGACAATAACCAGAGGGACCAGTTGTAGAAACCAAAATATGCTAAGCATTGTACTGGGAGACACTTAGAAGAAGTGGAGGATCTATCAGTTTTGTGAGGAAAGAAACGATGAGAGGTAAGTGTGTTAGCCTAACTATTAGTTATTTGAATCATGAGATTAAAACACACTTACCCAGCATGTTTTGGTTTCTACAACTGGTCTGTCGGGTTATTGTCTCCCCAGAAACACTTCCCTTGTGCTTTTGGAGATTTGTTTTTTCCTATTTCTGTTGTGTTTTGTGTGCTTTTGCAGCATTTTTCTTATTGCTGGTGTTTTCTTAAGTTGCAGTCCGTTTGGCCTCTGAGGGCCACTGTAGGGTTTTACATTAAGCTGGCTGTGTGCAGACTTATAATGATTGTTTATGTGTGCAGACTGTCCTTTTATCTAGCTGGAGATGGTGTTTTATTTAAAGTCCCTGAGCTCGGAGCCCTGCAGACCCACCTGTGTATCACCTGGGATTCCACTTCAGGTTTAGCTGCCCTCTTCCTGGATGGCAAGAGGAGCTTATCCAAAATCTACAGGAAGGGTCACACTGTCAGGGCAGGAGGCAGGGTTATCCTGGGACAAGATCTGGATTTTTATCTGGGGGATTTTGATAAACATCAGAATTTTGTTGGTGAGATCTGTGATGTGAATATGTGGGACATTGTTCTGCCAGATAGTGTGATACAAGGCATGTTTGCAGGGGAGAGAGAACCAAGAGGAAATGTTTTTGACTGGGAAAACACAGAGCTGAGAATTAACGGGGACGTAGAGGTCGCCATTCGTGAGCTGTACACTCCTGAAGCTGACGTGTGAGGACTCACAGTGTTTATGATGTTTTTCACACGGGCTGGACCACAGTAGCGTTCACGGTTTGTTTGTTTTTTCTTTTTGAATAGAATGGCCTTAAATGACTCTGTATTTATTTATTTTTTACGTGTATTGACACTTGTTACTTATGTTTTAATTAAAGATTCTGTTCATTTATTTACTGATTGATATGTTTCCCTGATGGCCAATTAACATCAATCAGAGAGCTCATTTTCATTTTACGTTGTGGGACACACAGAGCCCACTTTGAACTTAAGTGTCCAGACCAGTGAAACCACATAATAAATGGGTAAAATTACAAAAAAGTGCAGCTGTTTCATTCCAAGACTGTGTAATGTGTAATCATAAAATATTAATTCACAGAAAATTGTTGTCATTGTTTATTTATTGCTTAATTACTTTCTGAATTTCAGTGGCAGGGAGGAGTCTTTATCAACAGGAGAAGCTGGAAACCAGAATACAAGTAAAAATCTAAAAAGTAAAAAATAAAATTTTATTTATATAGCATCTTTCTAGATAAAAAGATCACAAAGTGCTTCACGAAGGGATGACAGAGTATAAAACAGAGTCTTTGTAAGGCCTGATTCTGGCCCCCGAGCTGTATGTTGGACATCCCATCCAGTAAGAACATACAATCCTTACCAAGCCAGTATTCATAATGAATTCATATATTATATATAATTGCTTACATGCATATTTCCAGGAATTTTTTAAAGTCGGATAGGCAAAAAAGAAGAATGGGAAGACTCTGTTGGGTTGCAATCAAGTTAGACATTAAAAAATATCTTATTGCTTTGCATTGAATTGCTTTTTCATACAGTTTGAGTCATTATCAGTTTTAACTTAAACAAACCCTCTGTAATATACTGTTCGTATTGCTCCCTCTTGTGGTCTTCTGAAGTTTTATAAAACATGAAAAGTTTTGTCCACTTTCGGGCTATGTTTATAGTTTATTTCTTTATAATTTCAATTTCGTGTTGGGGTTTTTTTTTTTGGTCTGATTTTCTTTTGTAATACTGTTCGACAACTTCAAGGATAGCATTTTGTTTCCCCACCCCAAAAAACACAGTTGGTACATTCCAGTTTAACAGGCACGGACGGGGTTCGAACCCGCGATCTTCGGTTTACGAGACCGACGCCTTACCACTTGGCCACCGCGCCTGGTAATATAAAACCTGCAGTATCTGTCAATTTCAAGGTACAGCATCAACGTGTGACGTAAGTGCTGAGATTTCATTTGACCGTTTCACTGACGGAGAAGAATCACGATCCCGAACTCCATCCAAAATCTGTTCAGTTTTGGCTTTCTCATCATCAACACGCAAATGCACGTCATATTATAAAAGCCAAGGACGGAAATTCTTTAAAACTGAGATAAAATATCCTGACAACATCATGTATGAAGCCGAGTGTCCCAGTCGAAGGCATTGCTGATAAAGACTGCCTCAGGTTATGGTTTATAGGCTACGTTTTTGGGTCTGTGCGAAGTAAGAAAATTCGTTATGTTTCTGAATGGAGTTTGGAGTTTCCTCACGACCTCACACACGCGATGAAAGGGTGTCTTCAAGGGAAACGCACCCGGAAGCAGATGAAGTGGCTCACGACAGATGGGATTTCACACTTTCCTTTTTAACCGCTAACTGTAGAGTCAGCATGATGATGTGAAAGACTCCTGTACATGTATGGCATGGAGGAAGGGCTGTCTGATCCTCGAGTAATGCTGTGAGTAATGGCGCCTCTTTAAAAGAATCAAAGCTAGCTTTAGCTTGCTGGTAAAGCGATAGCTTGGTAGCTAGCAGGGGAGAAGTTTGTGTGCAAGGTGCATTATTTTCAGCCTGCTGCATGTGCGCTCCTTGTGAGATTTTACTGACAGGGCCATTATCACGTCTTTGTAGTATTATTTATGTTTTGTGTAATACATCAACGAATTATGTGTTCAATGGGGCATGGAACAACCTGGAAAAGCCATTGGATTACATGATTAATGTTTCGAAAAGAATATTAAAACCAGGAAATTTACTTTGTATTATAGTTAGTTATCTAAATAAAATGGACAGAGGGAGATTTATATTTGTTAGATCACCAGAGGGGCGGCACGGTGGTTAGCACTGTTGCCGCACAGCAAGAAGGTCCTGAGTTCAATTCCACCATCAGGCCGGGGTCTTTCTGTGTGGAGTTTGCATGTTCTCCCCGTGTTTGCGTGGGTTCTCTCCGGGTCCTCCGGCTTCCTCCCACCGTCCAAAGACATGCAGCTTGTGGGGATAGGTTAATTGGATAATCCAAATTGCCACTAGGTGTGAATGTGTGAATGAATGTGAGTGTGAATGGTTGTCTGTCCCTGTGTGTTGGCCCTGCAACAGACTGGCGAACTGTCCAGGGTGTACCCGCCTCTCGCCCTATGACAGCTGGGATAGGCTCCAGCGCCCCCCGCGACCCTGAAAAGGATAAGCGGAAGCGAATGGATGGATGGAGATCACCAGATCCCAAATGTGTTTAAGGCATTATCTAATGAGCACCGATGCTTCAAATGAGCAAAATTCACTAAATCGTCTTACTCTTTGATTCAGTGTGAGGTGACCTGTGACCGAGCCTAGAAAGTGTTTACAGAGTTTTCCCATAGACTTGCATAGGACTGGGACTCTTTGTGCAACGAAAGGTGTCGCCCCCTGGTGTCGTTTAAAAAGAAGGTTTAACAGGTTTAATGCACTTCCACTGGCTTCACTTTTCAAACCTGGAAGCTACAACCATCTCCTACTCTCTCTGTGATGTAATATCTGACCTGAGCTCCAGGAGCACTGAATCACCGAATGTTTTAAATAATCATGTAAACCTGCTTCTAGACCGTGTGTAAAACATCAGAGCCTCTTTTCTTAGCATTTAGGGAATTATTGTGGCTCTAGCCAAATTCCTGTTGGTCATTTCACTCAGTTTAAAAAAAACAAAACTTTTAAGGTAAGTTTTTTTTCATCAACAGCCTGGAACTTCTTTGGGTGCTGTGTCATGAATAAAAGCCTTCACTGCAGAGGTATTATAAGCAGTAATGATATAGGACATGGTTTTGTTTTCACCTGGATAGTCTGTCTCTGTGTCTTATGGCAAATTATGGGGCTGCAGGAGGTTTTCAGACCTTTGGCATGAATTGCTAAATGTCGGTTTGACTGTTGACAGATCTGGTCAACACAACTGTGCAAAAGACAGTAGCCTTTATTTTGCAGGTGTGTTGTTGAACACACCTGTCGAAATCAGTCAAAGGCGGGTGTGGTACTGACATAATCATGTAACAATAGTGGCTCACAGGTCAGAATATCAACATGTTAATGGTTGTCATGGTTGGTGTGCAGGAGCGGATCTACTGGGGTGGCACGGGGTGACCCCTAAAATAATCTCTTGCCTCTAGTTTTGCATATGAAAATGTTGCTTATTAAAATAAGATAGTATTAACAGTTTGAACATAGCCACAGTTAACATTGAATATAATTTCTAAAACTGAATGTATTACATAGTGTTATTCCCCCTCCACTATTAAAAAAAGGTTGTGCCCATAGCTCGGACCAGCTTCATTTCTTGTTGTCAGTAGCAACCGATGCCTATGATTGTGCCAGAGCACAATCAACATCACTACGACGTTTTTTTGTGCCACTATTCTGAGCGCACGTAGTAAAAATTTGAGTGCACGTAAAAAAAATTGCAAGTACAAGTGTTGCATTTTGAGGAGAATTTTATTTTGAGTGAAGAAAAGCTCAATTTGAGCGAACAAAATTCATTGCTGCGTGCAAAAAATGTATTTCAGTGTTTGCTATTATCCATACACACACACACACACACACACACACACACACACACACACACACACTCTCTCTTTCTGTACACCGTTCTATTTGTGCCACAAAACCAACCAATCACAGACTTGAATGCAAAAAAAATCTGATTAGCTGTTTTGGTGTCCAATCAGCTCGGTAGCTACTGTAGCTAAACTGGGGCTGCTATTGTGTATATGGATAATAGCAAACACTGAAGTACATTTTTTTGCACGCAGCAAAGAATTTGTTCTCCTCAAAATGCAACACTTGTACTGGCAAATTGTTTTTACGTGCGCTATATTTAAAAAAAATTTTTTTTTACATGCACTCAGAATAGTGGCACAAAAATGACGCCATACATCAGGCACGTCAGATCTGAAGAGTGATACACCTCCTGCTGTCAGGCCTGCAGGGTTTAGGCCGGCGGTGTTGTCCTCTCCTCTGTGCCTAAGTTTTTAAAATTTACAATTTATATTTTCATTTCAAGTTATGAAAATCTTTCACAAAACATGTTTGTGGCTGTTACAGTAAAAACTAACTTTTTTCTCCTCGATTTTTATGTTTTTGTGTGATTTCAGATCAGTTGTGTTAATGAAAAAATAACTGTAAATTCAGACACGTGAGATTGTGCTCAAAATAATGATACCAAACAAACCAAAGTTATACCCTGGAGCCCAGAGGCTTAACCCAATAAATAATGAAAGGTTAGGTTTCAATTTTTGGTGAAAAACGTGTTCATGACAGTGCAGATTTCAGTCTTTTTGTGTAAATTTAAGCATGTAACAATTTGATTATTTCTAATAAAAAAAATAATATATAAAAAATATATAAAATATAAAAATAATATAGAAATAATAAAAAAAGGGTGTGATACTTAGTAATAGTATAAATCTATACATTACATAAAATCAAAATGTTTAATTATCTTGGCTAAAGAAAATTATTAAGTTATAAACTATATTTATATGAAACATTTGCATACTTACTGCATTTGATGCATTATAACCTTATATAATCCATATTACTGGATGGTGGTGTGACCCCATGAGAGAAGAGTTCGTGGACAGCCTGTTTTGATGTTCAGCTGAAACTGGTTTCACCATATATCCCATTGCATCAGGTGAAAGAGCACAAAAAGGCCTCCGATATACGCTATGATGTATAATCTGTGCATGTAGAGGGAAAAGTGTTGCAATAAAACGATTGAAATGTAGTTTTTCAAAATCAGAATAAAGGAAAATTTGGACACAGTGTAACTACAGGAGAAAGCTTTGTCATAAAACGGTGCCATCAGAAGATTTCAGAACGCAGGTTCGGTCATCAGAAGTTCAAAGTTTTGTGACTTGTTTAAACGTTAATCAACGTTTTTACAATAGAGACCTTTGAGACGATTTTTATTTGAATGCCGTTCTTTGACCTTTTTTTTTATGAATTACATAAAAAACATGGGACCAGTCACTACTGGGAATCGTGGCCCGTTATTCCCAGTCGAGCTGCATGTTTTGAAATCATTTCGTAGA